TTCCGGGAATCACGAATAACGCTAGGCTTTCTGTGGAAGCATGAGTGGAAGTCATGGTTGTATGAGTGGAAGTCAGCGTTGTAAGTACGCACCACATCCGAGGAGAGGATATTTCATTTTATCCAAGGAGAGGATATGCATGGGGTCCTTTTTTTGTGCATAGGGTCAGTTCTTGATAGCTAAATCATGAAAATACTTCCGGCTGAGGCTGAAGAAGCCTCAGATACCGTATTCAATTTTGCTGCCTATCAGGGGCACTAATCTTGTCGAAGCTTGATTACGATATTATTCTCAAATACTGAATTACTGTCCTGCACGTAGATGTCGCTAACGCATGAGGTGCAACTGCATGTATACGAGAATGTGGAAGCGAAATTACAGTACTTCATACCTGTGAATCCAACTTTGACAATTGTTTCACTTCACATACTTCTAGTTTCCATGAACATCCAGAAATTGATGATCTGATTCACGAGAACACGGCGTCGTCGAAGTCGTTCATGTATGTTAGATTTTAAAGTCAATGGTGAGAATGAGTCTTGAAGTGATCATCCCAAGCCGCTCCAGAGGCTTTCATGAGCCTCTCGAGGCCGTCATCTTACGGCGTGACTACGGGAAGTTGTGTCAGACGTGGGGACGTCCTTGCGAAGTATGCATTGCTTCTGTTCCACGATCGAGAGCGACGATAATGCCGGGAACTTGTTCAGCTTCTGTCCCTTGTCATTATTTTACTACGAGAATCCGTGTCTGGGTCGCCGGACGCGTTGAGAAAGATGGGGAGATGATTTATTCGACGGCCTTATTCGTGCTACGGGTCGAGGAACGTGGACTCCGATGTTTCGAAATATCTGTTATGCGAGAACCCGCGGGACCGGTCACCTGGACTTCCCCTTCCTTTTCAACTCCCGGCTCTGTTGGGATGTTGTGACCGTAATAATCCGCTTCCTCCAGAAAGAAGCATCTGTTCAATTTTTTGTGTGGACCTTACGTAGTTGTATGGTCATGTTCCACTACTCAGCGATCAGAAAAGTTTGCCGAGTTCATTTTTGAAAGGTATCCACGCGAGCACTGTACAATCTAAACACAACACCTTTTTCGAAAGTTGATAATTTGCATATTTAAACCCAGTCAGAAAAAGTGTATCGATCTCTTTCATGGATGCATAATTTTTTTATTAGAGGAGGTATTTTTCAATCATGAATAAATTGAATGCTTGAGAATTGAGAATAGAGACAGCGACATGATCCAGTAAAACGATTGGTGCGGATGCTATTCCTCTTGCTGCTTTACTCGTGGCACCGTTTGAGAAAGTTTCACGCTAACTATCATACGCGCATGTTGTCGTTTTGTATATAAATAGGATCATATGTTGATGGTGGCCTCCGAATGGTGGAATCCTTCGGAACCTTGCTAAGTTAGAAATTCACTTCTTTGGGAATACACGGACTGGGATCGTAATTCAACGTACAATACTGAAGTGTACTTGTGTTTTGTATGTTTCTTGGAGAAAAACGGAGAGTCGTTTAGATTGGATTTCTTGTCTCAATTTTGTTCTAGTTATTACGAAGTCGATGGGAATAATGTACAGTAATTGAAATTGCATCCGTGCATGCGTAGCGGATTTTCTCTCTACCACTTCGATCACTACACTGGAATAGATGACTTGGTCGTATAATATGGCTGGTGGAACTGGAAGATGAGTCAGATGTAAAACCATGGAAAAGTCTGTGAAAGGGAATGAATCGTACTGCACGTCCGGCACATGCGTTCGTGCGTGCCATCATCCTTCACGAACGATGCATTCTCACATGCTTGTATGATTCAGTACCGGCTTATTTTGCATGCTGAAAACATAAATTTGTGCGTTCGACCAAATTGTTCTGTGTATTTTGCGATGGATATAAATCCGGAGCATTTGAATGCGTATGAGCGGAAATCCATGACGGATACCGCGAACTTTAGCAACTAGGTTCTTCCACTGAGTATTTCAATTACCTTTTCATTCAGTATTTCGCTTACCCCTTTGAAATCGTGCGTGATATATGGAAATTTTTATTTTTGTTGTTTATATTTTGTCTTCGTCGGGCAACAAATGATATTTAGGACCAAAGCAGATTAAGTAGGGCGAATACCAAGAGAAGAAAGTACGTCGTATCGCTTTGATGGATGAAGATTTACTCTTTCTTGTTGCTACTGTATCAAGTATTCATTTATAGTATTTTGAAATGTTTTCGTTCCTTTCGGTGTCGTATATCTGACACCTATGATAATGGCAAATCATCTGCTGGTCATCGTGAAAGTGAAGGTCGTCCTTGAATGTCCTCTCATGTTCGGAATAATTGAATAAATTGCAATTCAGGACCAAAATGCAGTGCTATTGAGCTTTAGGGATGTCGGCAGGCGTGACGCGACGTTATGGTACGACTTCCACTCAACGCCGCTCCATTCAACGCTACCTCTTCCACGCCACCCCTAGGAGCGCCAGCCTCTCATTTAGTGACTTTGACTGCAATGCTTTGGCAGTGTAAAATGTAAACGGAGACTCCGAGGGACAAATAATGTTTTATTTTGAAAACGTTTTGTGTATTCACACTGTTATTTTTTCATCAGAGTTTCCATAGATAATATATTTCATTTATTTAAAAAAGGTGTTTTTATATGTGCACTGTCATTTGTCCCTGGGAGTCTTCCTATACATTTTACATCGCCAAAGCATTACAGTTGAAATCACTCAATGAGAGGCTGGAGCTCCTAGGGGTGGTGTGGAAGAGGTAGTGTTGAATGGAGCGGCGTTGAATGGAAGTTGTATCATAACGTGGCGTGATGGAGGCGTCAGCTGAGGAGGAGAAACTGATCACTTCCTCTTGAACTGTCATCCTGACATCATCTCTTATCCTCTGGCCTAAGTGTTATTTTGTGACCGTCTTACTGCTGAAGTCTTAATTGTGACAAGAAATATAAGTCGTGTTCGTGGAGAAGAAGTCCAACCTTTATACAATCTTATTACATGGTTATATTCACGGGAAGTGAAACAACGAAATTTTGAGGATGTTTTCTAGCGAAAATATTGTATTCCTCTCATCCCGTGTTTTCCTGTCTTGTCCTACGGTTTGTCAAGTAAACACATTATTTCTGAAATGTTTTTCGAAGCTATCAAGTAAATCAAATGCTGCTGTGATGACTTATTGACTTTGGTGTGAGTGCAATTAAACTCCATCATTTTTTAAAGTTTTTCGGAGTACTGACGTACTTTAACAGGTGTGACTTTCTTCCATTTGTGGTGTGATTCTGCTCGACCTGAACGCGGAATTTCGATCATGAGTGAAAGTCTTCAGTTACCAATTCTACGGTGCTGAAGTGGGAAGATGTTCCTGTTCCTTGTTTATGAAACCTCACGGTTGCTTCTTTGACCGCATCTTGTTCGTGATGCTCTTTTTCGTCCGGACGAGATTTTTCTCCGGCGCCCAGGTGGCGGAGTTGAGTGCATCGTGACTGCTTGGGTATATCATTGCGAAACGCGTGTCGCGTTTCTGCACCGCTTGCGAGGAGATTTGAATGTTTCATCACCTGCAAAGACGTGTCGTGTTCCGCGATTGTGGAGTACGTTTGGGAGAAGGTGTTGACGTGCTGCATGTTGATCGCGGCTGTTGATGAGAGGGCTTAATATCTGTTGAAAGCGAGAAACTCATTCATTTGTGATTAGTCTTACTTCTTACTCGGTGGCGAATGAGTCCTCGCGAAAGTTGGTGGCAAATGTGCTCGACGGAATTCGATCTTGTGAAATTAATTTCGACTTGAGGGGTCCTTAAATGTTGAGAACTTCTAAGCATCAAGAATATGCGTGAATTATTATTTTTTCTCTGTTGGAAAACATTTGTTTTGTTGAAAACCGTTGGAAGTTTTTGAACAGTATGGTTTTAATTTGTCATTATGTACGGTTTATGCAGCGCGGTACAAGAAATTATTTTATACATTTGAACCTGGATAACTCGAAATTCCTCAAGTCGTATGCCTCCGTATGTCGAAGTCCCTGTCTGAATTCCCTTAGAAAGATGCATTATTAATTTCCCGAACTCGAATGCTTTCCCCTCAAACCGCTAAACCGCTATAACTTCAATTTCCTGGAGGCTTTTTGGCAATGAATTTATTTTATTGACACATGAAAGAGAAAAGCAAATGAAAGAGTATAACAATGACTTAATGATTTTTGAAGGGAAGTTAAGGATTAAGTGAGCAAGTGAACCCTTGTCTCCAAGTTGAGCATCTTATCAATTCATTTAAGAAGCAATTCAAGACCTACCCTCAAATTGAATTTCACTTAAATTCTTATTCATTTTCCCCAAAATAAATTCTTGCTTTCCTCACTCGATTTTTTTATTGAAGTCGACTTGAAAAGGTTCGACTGTACATGGCTGCATTTTTCCGGGCTGTTAGTTGAAAATTGAAATTAAGTTGTTTTAGTCTGATTAGATGGTAATGACGGTCGCAGATTGCTTTTTGATTTTTCATGAAGTCGTCCCAGATTCCATCGTCTTCTCTGTTGCTCAGGTTTGCTTGATAGCTTGCAAGAATTCCTTAAAGTGGATATTCGAATTTTTTTCTGGTCCGTATTACTGAGTTCCCTGCAAACTTAATTGCTATCTTTTTACGTCTCATCTACGATTGCAAAAGCACAGAAATTTCGTACTTAACCGACGGGGAATATTTTTTGGACGCCCTAGACTCCTAGAGAGTTTAGTACTATATCGCAGAAGGCCATTTTCTTCAAGAGATGCTGTTTTTGGTGCACAATTCTGGCTGAGCCGCGTGGTGACCGCGGGTGTCTGGTCGAATGATGTCGCCGTTCTGTAAAAGAGGTGAAGGTCGGGTGATGTTGAAGCTGTGGTTCGTGGTCGTCGTGGGGGTTCTCCCGTTTGACCCGATTCAGCCTTCGCAAAACCTTTTGTCTTCTACGGTTTAAAATTGTTGATTGATGAATACCGTACACAAGAGTTGAAGCTATGTTACTCGGTGTCGCATCGCATGAACCCAGTCATTCCACTTCGACAAAGGAGTGAGTTTCGTACGAAAGAGCAATCTGGAATTTTGAGACTTGAAAACTTGTATTCTCCCTTTTTTGAGACGTGATCTTCCAATGTGCACCGTCCGTAATCAGCGGAAAAATCTATTGCACAGATTCCTCGTGGCTAATTTTTTACTCCAGCGGTTCGAAGCGGCGCTGTTGAACCTTTAATTAAGTTCAATTCTTTTGAATTCGGAAGTGGTGACTGGTGAGGAGCCCAGTGTTGATGTCGGTTTCTTGTTGTTGCTTTCTTCGAGGCTGCGGCTGATTTTTCTTATTTTCATTGATCGATAGTATACGGAATTTTCAGTTTATTCTTTTTGAATTGCAGGGTTGGAATGTCGGAAACAGTCCATGAAGATTGGGTTGGATGTTGGCGTTGTGCGCGGGATGCCACGATAGATCCCGGCGTCACGCTGGGATTGTTGGACTGCGGTCATATTCTATGCGCGAAGTGTGTCCCCACAGAGGACAAAAAAGACGTGCATTGTCCAGTGTGTCAGCGACAATCGAAATTCAAGAGTCTCGAAAGAGGAGAACATCCGAGCAATGTCATGTTGTTCTTGAACGACCCCAGCACCCTTCTAGCTCCATCGATATCATCTTTCCTTAAAGTGACCAACTTCCAAAATGCGCATCGTAAGCGGAAAATCTCGATTTTGCGCAAACGGAATTTTTTCCTCATGAAAAGGCTGGAACAATTCGCGACTGAGCATCAAAAGTTGAAGCAGGCCTACATTGCAGTTGAGGCGAAGCATCGACAAGTGAAGGAGGCCTACGAGGAACTCAAAATTAAAAGTCGGGAATCAAGAGAAGAGTACAAAATGAATCCGCGTATTTCGAGGGATCACAGAGGCCGGAATGAAGCCCCCGTGGCACGAAATGCGTGAGTCTATTGATCTTTCATTCCTCGTTTACTCGTTAAATTTTGAAATTTCATGCCGAGTGGTTATAGGTTATTATTTCAATAACCAGCCCTAGTACCAAAATTAATTGATGCGCTGGAAGTGATCGAGTTTCGAGTGCACTTTGATTACTGCACTAAACACTTGTCTTGAAGGTGATATTGATTTATGTACGGTACATGAGATATATTTTTTAATGCAATGCAGTATTACGATATTGTTTTATCATCTCATTATTTACTTCAGTTTAATTCCGATGCCTTACCGAATGCCAGTAGCTTTTTTGATCCGAGCTTATATGAGTACAGTATTTACAATGAGGGGTGTATCGATTTTAACACCGTGGTTCTTCCTTCCGATGAAGCTTCACTTCTCGTTTTTTTGTGAAGCGGAATCAAAGTACTGTAATACATTCTTGAAAAGTCCAAATACTGTCCTTGTTTGCATTCCTTATCTTTTCGTCATCTGATGAAAGCACCTCTGAACATGCCGATGAATAACCACGATTTATTCATTAGGCATATTATTCTTCAAGTTTGGTTTGTGGTTGAAAATTCTTTAATTGATAGAAATTTCTGCAGTTTCCGTCATCTGCAGAAAAACAATTTAGATTCTATGTTGCCGGCGTCTGCAAGAATACATTTTCTTTATTATCAAGAACGAAGTCGAAAGAAATGCCGGAAGAGAGTTAAATCTGTGAAAAGAAACATTTTGAGAAACAGTCGTCACTGACTGCCGAATTTTTTTCAGCTTTTTGGCGGTTATTCTCTCCTGTTACTGATCAATTCTGGGAATCTATTCGATCAGTTGTTCGTTTAAAATATTTTTTTTATTCCTGACACCGTAGATTTAGTCCTGCGTGATCCTCCTTGTAAGTAATCCGGGATCACAGTAATGTTTGTTTCTTATTTGCTACTTCTTTGTCGGATATAGTTGGGAGGATTACAGGGAACGAACGCAGACAAGTATGGGAGTGACCGATTCAGTCCTGGACTACGGCGGAATCTCACTAACTCCCGACTCCTTCGTCGATCCCTACAATATCCGAAGAAATGCGTCTCGGACAAGTGTGTTCGATAGAAGCCACAACCAGTACCACAGCGTTGCCAATCCGGTCCGCGGGAACTACCTGAGGCGTTAATGACCGCGTCGGCCCGTCATTTCAGTGGTTTTTTCTTATCTCTCGTGAAGCTTGGTGCGTGTTTCTTTCTCCACTTTCTGTTTGACGTGTTTCGTCGCATCGGACGAACGCGTGAGTGAGACGTTTCGTTACCTCGTGGAGCTGTGACTAATTTGTGATGATCGCTGATAATCATCCGAGAATTTTATGTTTTCGGAGATTTTGCAGGGAAAGGCAGCGATTCTAATGGGATCAACGGAAATGGATAGATTGATTCTTCTGTCTTGGGAATCACAGGCTGAAATTTCTTGTTTGCTTGCATGGGCTCGTCAATGTGAAAAAAGTCATTTTTCAGTGATGTATGAATGGTATGCGTCCATGCGGTGTATCGGTGGTCATTTGACTGTGAGCTTTAAAATTCCCCGTTAAGTTGAGTTTATGATCTAAATCGTCGAATTCGATGGAACGTAAAACGCGTAGATAATTACGGTACTTGTGTTCGGGACGTCGTTTTTTCTGAACGTATATCGTCGCTTTATCCTCAGCCTGCTTGCCCGTGATGCGTACTTCCTGATTTTGATTCGACTTGATGTCGCAGTCGATTCTACCTTTTATTCTTTTCAGTGGATGGCATGATTTATTGTTCGCTCAGCATATTAGTTGTGCCTTCAGTCGCCTGGCTGAGAAACCATTTGGTTGATGCGTTTTGTAATGTGTTGGCTCGACTTTGCTTCGCTCCGGCGGTGCGATGCTGAGGATTAAGCTCGACAGTATTCCAGTGTTTTCTTTATCGCATCTCGTATCGCCTCCTCCTTGCTGATATATTTTTCTATCGCGCTAGTTTTGGTAGTTGAAGAGTCCTGATTTTTTGGAACTTACTTTCAGGTGTGCGAGGAAGGAACGTGCGGTTAATCGTTGAGTACTGTATCTTATTTTTACATGTTGTGCCAGCTTTTGTAAACCGAGTTCAAGTACTGTACTGTACTTTTGTTCGTTCGTGAAAGGATATTTAGAGTACGTATAAAAGTTAAATAGTATACGTTGCGTGCGATCAAAACCGAAGCAGTGACTGTGTCGAAGTGCTTATAGAGTGGTTCGTTGAGACGGACGCGAATGCTGACTGACGATGTTGGCGCGCGGCCAAAGTTGCGTGCAAGCCTTTGAACGTTGTCGACTGTGGGACCAACGTCGTTGACGACCTCTAAAATATCGGGGTTTCTCGACCGAGGCTGGTGAGTGGTCCAGAATTTTTTGCTGCCAGAATTCTTGAATTTTATGGAGGGTGCAACCCCATGTAACTGCATCTTCTGCGACCTTGATGAAGCAATATCCTGGCGTGTGATTCTTTTTGTTTGTTTTGCACGAGCAAGTCTGTCGTGCTTTCTTGAAATTGAGACCTTGTCATTGAAGAAGACCAAGTCTAAAATTCGGGATAATCTTCTTAACATGATCGTAATCATGTTAAGCGCCGAAAATTGACCATGATCCCTCGCTGCCCTGTTATGTGATATTAGGAAAAGATACGTTTCCCGCACTTATACCGAAAATAAATGAAGAATGAAAAAAAACAACCTCAAATTTCACAACTCCTTCTTTACCTACTTAATGCGTTTTTCGCTGTTTCGAATACAAAATTTTGTTTATATACACCCACCTGCAAACCGTTTTAGACACATTTCATTTTTTAAATTTAGATTTCCACAATAAAAATCGAAGTGGGAATTTTTGGAAAAAAGAAGATGGTGACGGTGGAAGAGTGCCACGTCAGGTAAGGCCAATTTTTCCCGCAGTTGGAATCGGGGAAAAATGGGTGATGAAAGCATGCGCTAGTGTGAAATTATGTCACTATTTGAAATCTATGCGTTTCTCGAGCTCCGATGCGTGTGAAGAAGAAAATACAGCTTGTTGTTCCAGTTGCCTCTTTCATCTGCATGGGAATTCATCGAACTTTTGTAAAACGAGACTGAAGTCTATTGACATTTTTCATAATTTTCTCCATTTCAGCTGTCCTTGATTTCACTATGTTCAATGATTCTAGTGTTTTTACCCTTCCCTTTCATGAATCCGCGACATTGATCAGTGTAGAAAGTGGATTAGGTAGTAGTATGAACATAATTTATCGAGACAGCTGTAGAATCACAGATCGGTTTGAAGTTTCAATTACTGTGCGTCTAATTGATGAATGCTTTAAATGAGTCTAATCCATACGGATCAGTTTTAAAGATCTGCAGATCGTAGTTTTCGCGGTAGACGGTGTACTACAGTACATTATATGGTTCTGTTGGACTAATCAGATACAGCAATGTGTACATTTTAGTTCGTCTTAAAGACAGTTCGTATTAAAAACAGAAGAGATAAATCCTCCTTATCGCCTATTAATGTTATTCTGCTGAATTTGATGCAACACTTTTGTTCTACCGAATTTTTATGTTCCGGATAATTGAGGGTTGTTCGTGTAAATTCCTTTCGGAGACGAAGATCTCCCTTTCTTCGCGTTGATTTAAGGAATTCTTGCGAATACTGTAGTCTGGTCGACGATGAGATGATTCTTGCAAAAGACGTGAACTTTGTACCTTTCGGGCGCGTCTTCGGGGCGGAAAGGTTATATCGTTACGCCCGATTTAATGGGCACCTGATTGTTCGACGCGTATGACGTGCTGGACGTTGGGTTCCGGCGTAATTCACGTGCTTGTAGAATTTCTGCGTGTCAGGCTGTTCAGCCGATGTCTGCGTGTGCATTGACAATAATTGCGGCATTTTGATTATGGTGGTTTTCCTTTTTTTTGTGTGTGTTGTGTCGTGTGTATGTGTGATGGAATGCTCCGTTATTTTTCTGTGATTGTTGGAGCGTTACGTGGGCATTCTTACGGGCGTGTTTTTAGCCTAATTGACGGAGCTTGGAATTTATTTGGGCGTGGAAAGCTACTTGAGAATTTCCTCGAGTTTTCAGCGTTGGTCTAGATGACTGGAACCGGAACAAACGGTTTCCGTTACTGCTCTATAATTTTCTTGCTAAACTGCTGCGTATGTTTTGTGAGGTGGGGTGTTGAGAGAATGTTATGATTTTTTTGTCCGTCCTTTTGGTTTCTTTGTAAAAAATAAAATAAATGAATCTATCAAAGTGTGGAGTGCATGTCGAAGGGGATATTAGGTTAGATGAAAATCTGTTTTTTATGAGACCGTATTTTTAGTCATACTTTATCTGAACGAATTCGTCCTCCGAAAGATTAACAACGAAATCGCGTTCCATTTTATAAGAATAGAAACAATCCATTGAAAGCCTTCTGTACTAGTTTTTATTTACCACGTTTTTATGAACTCACTTTCTTGTCTGTCTGTTTGTCTGTCTGTCTGTTTGTCCGGATCAAATTTTGAAACTCAAATTTCACTCACTTCCCGACTAGCTATCAAGCTGAAACTTTCAGGATAGCCTAGAAACTGATGACAATGCAATCTTATGTGAAAAAATAAATTTTAAGAATATTTTTTAAAAAGAATAAAATAATTATAGTAGATTAAAAAATTAATCTAAAAAACCACGTTTTCAAAAAGCAAAAAATAACCTTAAACGTGGTGCGCATGGAGATTGTTGGGAAGAAGTGAAATACAAATGAAATAGATGCGCACCACATTTAAGGTTATTTTTTGCTTTTTGAAAACGTGGTTTTTTAGATTAATTTTTTAATCTACTAAATTTTTTTGTGCTTTTTAGTCATACTTGAAAAACGTGGTTTTTCAGATTAATCTTTTAATGTACTATAATTATTACTGTGTTCGGTGATCTTCAGCTCAAATCCTCCATAAGCCCGGGAATGCTCGAATTGATCTAAAAATCTGGAAGCACCTGGTGAGTTTTATGCAGTGATCAACTAGCGTTTTGTTCCGTTTCTCGTGTGAGAGGTTTTGCGCAGATGTCTCCGCCAGCGTAAATGTTCTTCTTAATAATTGGATTCGTAATACGGTATGTTAATCGGAGTGTAGACCTCGTGGAAATGGACCTTCGAGTTAGGTATGTAAAATACTAGTGGATCCAGAGCGATGATTTCCCATTCAGGAATTTCCATAGTGGAAGGGATTCTATCCGGTCTTGGTAAACCTTCATTGAAATGTATAAACGGCTGTGCTTCAGCAATTTTGTTTTTCTGACGATTCAATATTGTTGAACACGGTTAACAAATTTAGTAATATCCGATCCTCACTTCCGGTTGTTCACTAGAGCACCTTATCGATTTAGCATATCGCAATTTTTCTAAAGGTATTTTATACAAGATAATATTTTTATATGTCCGTGCTCATCAACCCGTGATGATCTTGAAAGGAAGGAAAATTGAGATTGCAAGCGTCGAACCTCGACTCCTATTATCATGCATCTTACGCTGAATAAAGCTTTGAAATGACGTGGATAAAGGATTTATTAAATGGTGAAGGTCGAATATGAAATGGATAATTTCAGTGCCCTTACCTCCAGTTCAAAACGTATATGTAAATATGCAGTAGTTACAGCTGTGATGCCGGGAGAACTCACTGGAGCACGTAGTAACTTCTCATGTGGTACACCCGCGAAGTGAACATTGATTCTTCTTGAGTGGTACAAACGACAGGCATTTAAAAATATTTTAATTTCGTTTGCGACTTCGAATCGAAAGCGTAATCCGAAGTACTGTATATTGTAAAGTATTCGATGGAGTGATGAGCCTCATATACTAAACTGTGCTGTTCACAATCTGCATACCTGGTGTACCATGCTGTCGAAAGCGCTGTAAAGACAATCTCTGGCCCCGGTGTACAGTACTTATTACTGTCTGTCAATATTATTGTATGAGCAGCTTCTGTACAGCGATTCATCTGCGCGAAGAAGTGTTTTTTCGTCCTTGGAGTTCCTTGTTGAGAGAAAAAGATAGGGAGAACATCTGTTGCTCCAGGACCTTCCTCGATGGACCCTAGCAGCGGAGTTCCATGTGGTTTGCGAACGCATCTGACTGATAACACTGCTCTCTCGAGGTTGTTCACGTTGTTGATTGAGTCCGAGTGGAGTATATTTTTGCGACCGGGAATACCCGAGGAGAAAACACTACTGCGTGGTCTTGTGTCACGCAGATGTGCTGCGTGTGTTGCGTACATGGCTCCTCGTGAGAGGAAATCAGTTCTATTCAGGTCGTGCCCGGAAATTGTGTCCGCGCGTGCCCGGAATCTCGGACGAGACCCGGATGACGCAACTGTGCGTGGTGACCGCAGCGGATTGCGCGATGCTGTGGCAATAGGCGACGGCCTTGATCCGCAAGCAGACTTGGGGATGGCGTCCCTAGCCTCGGTCTCTCTCGATCTTGAGGTCCTGTAGTTATAGCCGAGACTTCCCTCCCCCCTCCCGCCTCGCATCCTCGTGATAATCGAACATCATCTGGGATTCCTAGCGCTTATTGAAGATGAGGACGCTCGGTTTTTTTTTTAGCCCCTCTGCCGCCTTGATCCTCTCGCCATAAGTTCTCAACTATCGTGTAACACCACTGCCTGCGTTGCCACGAATCCGCGAAGATTCTCTGGAGCGCTGGGTCAGTCGAGAATAGCCGCCTGTACACTCTCACTGCGAATGGGGAAGCGTGATATTTTGAGAGTAAAGGGTAGATGTCGCTGCTCTGCATTGGTCATGTACTGTGTACCGATGGTCAACGGCTGCTGTGGTCTAGCCTCCAGACTCTTAATGCGTCGCTTACGTTTAATTAGAATTTTGTTCTTTTGTGCCGAAAAGTGGAAGCCTCGGGCATGAACTGGATTGCTTCCACGACCCCAGCCATTAAACCAATCGATGCTGAGGGCTCGTTTCTCAAGGGTACGCGCGCAAGCAATTTTATCCCAGAAAAAACTCGAGATTGGGTTGAGATTGGGGTTTTGCCGACAGCCGAACTGATGATTATTATTGAG